CTTCTATGTTAATAAAGTCTTAATACTTTCTTTAAACTAACTTGAAAAAACTTCAAGAGTCATCACTACTTCCCTTCCTTCTTGTTAATACTTCTCTTCAAGCAAAAACTTAACTGCTAGTAACCTGAAAGTCAAGAAACACCTTTCCTATCAAGGGCAAGAAAGTTCTGAAAGGAAGAAGAACCAATGTGCCATCATCTCACACTGTAGAGAAACAATACAGAAGTTCTGTATTTGATAAGAGACAACTTTCCCACTCTCTTGTTATCTGTCTGCTTCTCATAATGCTCGTTCAGGGTTTTTTCTGGGGAATTTTACCTATCTCAGTTTGACCCTGAATTTTGAGTAGCACAAAGTTTCTCATACCATGATTGGACAGATAGAGATCACATTGGTAAAAGAAGTAAACAAGCTCCCATTGGTCACATCTCATGTCTGAATGTATTTCTTCAGCTCTATAAGAACCTGGGGTCCACTATAAGTCATATGTCTGTGGTGCAGGTGGATATAAGACAAGCAAAACTCCTAAATCAGTAGTACCTTGGAAAGAGAACTGTTTGAATAGGATTTATTGGATAGCCAACAAAGACCTCTCCCTCCTTCTCCTCTCCAACAAATATAACAATACCTGGGACAGTATCTTTTTGAAGGGTTTTGATACTCCCATCTTCTCAATGTATACCGACACATCCTTCGAACACAACCACCTCTCTTAAAAATTTTTTTATTTGGGATGATGTGTCTTGCTTGAGCACGTTCGTCAGGGAGAATCTAGGAGGATTGACAAATCTTCTTTTCCAGTGCATGAATTAGATTGATCCAAGTTATTCTCCTTAACAACAAGCCATTCCGTGGGTTGGAATGGCCAGAATTTTACAACATGGAGATACTGAAAGCAGCCAAGGAACAGGTAATGCGCCCTTGACTGATAAAGCCCTCGAAGAGTAATCAGCTTACGGAATCAAAGTGATAGTAATAGCGTAAAATTCCTAATCATTTATAGACAATCCTAAGAGTATTTTATTAGTAATTATTTCTTGTATATGCATTCATTTGCTACATCTTGAAACTTTAATAAAACAAGGCTGAGTCGCCATTTCAAAAAAAAAAATAATAATAATAATTTATATATTACTAGAAATAGAAAACTAGTTTCTATAATAAATTTATATTATATAAAGAAAAAAAAAACTATAAATTAGAAACAATAACTATCAATATTTTAAAAAAAAACAAAATATAAAACTAGGACTTACCTGAATAATATTTTTAAACTATTACAAAAAGAAGAGAATCTTTTGAAAAAGAAATATATTAATAAAAAAAGTGTTTAATATTTTAAATACAAAAAAAAAAGATGTTCTAAAATATATAAAAAAAATAAATCAGAAAGAAGACAACTTTACTATCAAGTAAATAATTTCTCAAGTCATATATAATATATAAAAAACCAGAAATAACTTAAAAAAAAAAGTCTTTTAAAAACTTAAAATTAAGGAAAATACTACTATTTGATATACAGTATAGTGCAAAAATTTTTAAAATATTATTTATATAATATAAATACATATAATTATTTCAAAACAAAAGCAATTACATGAAATTTTAAATATATAAACAATATAGTTTAAACAATATATATAGGTACTTAGAATTATTTGATCAATTTATTTTTGTTACAAACTTATCTTTACAATATTATTTTCTTCTAAAAAAATATTCAATAACAAACTATATCATATTTATAAAATAATTAAATTATTTTTATATATAAAATATATTTCAAAACCTATATAAAAATATCAATTATCTATTATAATTTCAAAAAATTGAATTTAAAAGGCAATAATTCAAGAAAATCAAGTAGTGCATCATTTTAAAAAGATTATAGTACATAAATTAAGAGCAATTGATCAATATTTATATCATAATTCAAGACTTTTTTCAAGAACTTTGAAAATTAAATTATTAAATATTAATATTAAAGTATTATATTTAATAATTTTAAGACATTTAGTCAATTTGGATTATAAAAATAATTTATCTTTAAAAATATATATACTACTATTGCTTATAAAAAAGTACATATTATTTGAGCAAAAAAATAGCTTGATGATAATTGAAAAAAATATTACTTTTAAATAAAATGGTATTTCAACTATTTAAAAATACAATTATTTAATAGTATAAAGATGTAATACCAGTTAGAAAGATATTTAAAGATTATACTAAAATCTTTATATAGGAAGGATTTTGTACAAAAGAAAAAAATTTTTTTTTTTATTTTAAAGAAATTATGAATAAAAAATTTTATATCAATATTTTGCAAAATGATAAACAGAAATTAATAGATTGCTTGAAAACAATTAGTACTTTCAACAAGATAATAATCCTAAGTATACAACTAAAATTGATAAAGTATTTTTAAATGAAAATTTTTCTGAAATTATTGATTGATTTTCTAATAGTTCAGATTTAAATCCTATTGAAAACCTTTGGACTATTACTAAAAGAAATGTAGAAATAAGATTATCAAAAAATATTTTAGAATTAAAATAATTTATAATAAAAGAATAGAATAAAATTTCAAATTGGATTTTAAATAATTTTAGAAATTTAATTAAAGGGAGATATAATTAATAATTGAAAATAATAGTAATAAAATTAATTATTAATTATATATTAATAAAATCTCAAGATTTTTAACTTTATTTTAATATATTTTTTATTAATCTCTATACAATAGTTTTTGAGTAATAAATAAAAAATTTCAAAATTTTTTGCACTATACTATATTTACCTAATAAATATAGATCAAAAGATTAATAAATAATATATATTAAAACACTTAAAAAAATATAAAAAAATTTAAGATATTTATATAAATAAGATAAATATCAAACCTAAAGTCAAGACATATTTCAAATAGCACAAATATTTTAATTTTAATTTAAAGATAAAATGGTTAATTTCAATTAATACAGAAATATTGAAAGTTATATTCTCAAATCAAAATTTAGTAATAAAGAAATCAATAATATTTTAATTAAGAAAAATAATAATTTAGCAAAACTACTAGGTACAAATAAAATATATATTAGTCTAATAATCAAAATATTAAATAGTACTTAAATTAAAGCATATTATATATTTAAAGATCTCTTTATACTTAAAAAAAAAAAAATTTTATAATAGTCTATTTTGCAATAAAAAAAAATAGAAATAATATATACAAATAATATATTTTTCTATAAGAATTATATCTTTCTTAGAATATTAAATATATTATTAACTCAGAAGAAAAAAATACTAAAGAAGAAATAAGAAGTCTAAATTCAAGACTCAAATATAAAAAAATAGAAATAGATAAAAATTTAACTTCAGACTTATTATCAAATATTAAATTTATAAAATCTATTTTTATTTTCTTAGAAATATAAAATTTGATAAACTGAAGACAAACTAGGTATTACCATAATAAAAGAACAAAGTATAAAAATAATAGAACTAATAAATATCCTATGACAGGAAGAAATAGAAAGTTAACAAAAAATCAAAAATATAGTTACTATAGATAAGTAAGAGATAAGATAGAATCTGAAGCAGGAAATTTACAAGACCCTCAAATGTATTTTAGCAAATTTTGAAAGATTAAACAATAGAATAAATAAATTAGAGGAACAATCAACTTTTAATAGATTAAGATATGGCAATAAAGAAACAAACCACTTTTAAGGATATACCAGTTGTACAAAATAATCAAGAGAAGCAAAAAACCAATTCCTTCTTAACAATCACTATAAACAAGAGAATAAACAATCAATAAAGGTGATAATGTGATAGAATATAATAATGATTTAGACATAATGACATTTTACATGAGAAATGACAAACATTTCTAAGTAAAAAAGACAAGAACAAATTAATAGGAGTAAACAATGAAAAGAATGGAATCTCTAAAAGAGTAGTGAGAATAGATATGCAGTACATAATGTCAAAGGTATTATAGATAAGAAAACCAACAAAATCTCATCGACAAAATACAAAAGCAAGGGATAGATATACTGGAACTATGCAAACCAAAATTTACTCGGACCAATGCACAATGGGCTTTCAACAATCAAAAAGCCTATCGATGCTTCAAATAATATGCATGATAGTGAAATGCCAATACGTATTAATATTTAAAGAATATATTTATTTATTTGTTCAAATTTAAATTCATTATAACAATTATTGGAAATAGAATAAGTTCGAGATTGTAAGAATAATTTGTTCCATTGATTTTACGTTGCAACGATTGCGTATTGTTAAAATGTTTCCAAACTCGATTAATTTAAAAAGATTTGCATCTCAGATGATTTAAACTTTTTATAATTTAATATAAATAATGGGAAAATTATACTTTATGTCAAATATTCTTTCTAACAAATCAAGAATGAGTGACGATAACTTGGGGTTCCTGCCACCTGTCTACTTCCGTCCCAAAAATCCATTACCTTCGCCACCACCATCCGCTAGAAAACCGGAGAGATCGAATTCCTATTTTCGATCACCTCGACCAAAATTAAATTATTATTCAAATTACAGAAAGAGAAATAAACAAAACAAATCTTACGAAAAATATTCCATCAGTCACAATAATAATAATTACGAAGATAGTATAGAAGATAGTGATGATGAATCTCGAAGATATGACGCAAACTTAACAAATCAAATTTCATCGTCTACTTCAGCCATGTCGAAATGGAATCATCAAGAAGATGACGAGGATGAGGAAAAAAACAAGTCAATAGGAAGGTTTCAAAGATCTCTGAGTAGCTTTATGTTCCGTAGTAAATCGGTTGACACGTCGACTGCCACATTCATTCCTTACAAGCAGCAAGGTTGTGAAGTCGAGGAGACGATCGCAAATGAAGGCGAAGCTCAGCATCGTCCTGGTCGCTTAGGTGGATTTCAGAGGTCTTTGGCACGTAGTCAATTTGGTGCTAAATCTATCGGGCCTGCAAACGAAGAACCTATCTCGTCTTCCAAATCTAATAGGATAAGCAAGAAATCCAATGAATCCATATCCATGAAATGTGGAGGTTTTCAAAGAACTTTAAAAGACTATCAATTTGGTACCAATTCTAACACCCGAAAGATTAATTCAAATAAAGTCGATCAAGTTGATAAAAGGAAAAGGATGGCTTCAGTCGGAAGAATTAAAATCATATCTTCAAGGGTACAAAAAAACCAATCTCCATCTGCCTCCGATTCAGACGCATATGATTCGTCGAGAAATCCATCACGCAAAAGAATTCGACCCGAGAGTGAAATGGACAATAATATTCCTGGGCCCATTGGACACCTTCCACCCATGGTACGCTTTTCGCTTAAAATTACGACTTAATTATCCAAATATTCACCCTTATATTAGATTTCAGGTCAGACTGGATCTCGTGAAAATGCTTTTAGTATTGTAATGGAAAATTGCTGTAACCAGAGTTCCATGCATCCGGAACCTCTTAAATTTTCTCGCATTTCCGAAGACGAGTGGATTGCTGTTCTGGACACTGTATTTCTGCGTAAATATTCCTTCAGATCCACATGATAGTTTGTTAAATTATTTAATTAAAAAAAAAAAAAATCATTTGAACTTAGCCGAAGAGATGGCCAATGAGTCTATCAAATACACAATAAGTGCAATACACCAAATGGTGGACTATAAGAAAAGAATTCCTGTCACAATCGGGAGAGTCGCTAAGTTTGATTCGACAAAAAGGATTATTACCGTAGAAGATTGCACAGGTAGAACTCCTTGATATCAATATCTACTTTCAACTTCATCAATAACACTAGCATTTTTGTGAAGGCGAAATTCAAGCCGTAATTCATGAGAAGGTCCTTCTGGTTTATGGCCATCAACTCAAAATCGGGGCAATCATAGTTCTAACTAATGTAACCAAAAATTCTCCGCTATAACTTATTAATCAAATATTATATACTTAACTTCCTTTATAACTGCTGTAGCTTGCATTTCTACGTGTAGAAGGGAACAATTATCTCAATATAACGCTCGCCAACATTCACTGGGTATCAGGATCTGATCAAAACGATACTCCTCAATTAGTTAATGATAAAACCCCAACCTTCAAGTCTTCTCTGCGACCTGATAACGAGAAGAACAGTCAAGTTTTCGTATTTGAAAAGAGTGTTCAAGAAAATTCGAGTAATCAAGAAAAGCCTAATGCCAGTGATTCTGTAAAATCAAATGAAACTGGTCATGTTGGCAAGTTATTCGCATTATTTTCGCTACTATAATGTTATATTCCTTGCCTTACACATTTATATTTAAACCATCGACATATCTACATAGAAAAGGCAATATCTCCTGACAATGAAGACCTTAGTGGTTTATGGTCTAATTTGGAGGATCCAGAAGACCTCTCGTGGATGTTGGACGATTTAGAAGGGCTAACATAAATCAATAATATTTGTAATGCAACCTACTGAATGATTCATAATATGATACCTATAATGCAATATTTGTGTCAGTTGTTGACCCCTTTCAATATACAGTAAATGATATTTTAAAACTTATAAGTAAAATGATATTTGATATTTCTACTTTATGCAATGCAATTATTCATAGTGTTTTTCATTTTCCGTAATTATACTTAATATTTTTTTCGCGTTACGAGCTAACTCTAATATTTAACGGCTCGCATAACTGACCTACAGCAAAAGAAAGAAAAAGGAGGTAGCTCAACTCGCTCATACACAAATAACAAAACTTTTGGGCGAATTTTTTATTTATGCGGATTTACTTCCCTTATCGATACAAACAACGATCACTCAATAATACTGTAAATAAGAATAACAATATTTTGATGGTTTTTTTTAATGACGGGGAAAGTAAAAATATGATTCAAGATTGAAAAATCAAGATAATTTTTAACAAAATGTTTTTTATTACTTGCAAGCATGTCGGTTACTGTATATTCAAAAATCTTACCTTAGAATCAACAAAATAGATAAAAAACATGATATTGATTAAAACATTTATTGCCAATATTCTATTGAAAAAAATCGATTATAGGATTTTTTAAAAGAACATTATAATGAAAATAAATAAATTATTTGTATTTTATAATAAATATTTTTTATTAATTTATAATTTAATTTATAAATAATATAATAATTGATATAACTTAGTTAAATAATTGTTTATTTAATTTTAATAATTTAATTATGATTGAATTTTATAAATATAATACAGTATTATTGTTGTTTTATTTAATTTCAAAAAACTTTGCTAACTCACTGATTATACACAAAAAATATTCATCAAGAATTTTTTGACTTTTTGATTAACAAAATCTTATTGCTATCTTTAAAACAACTTAAAAGAATCATTAAGGCTTACTTATACAATACTGGTCATAATTATTATTATTATTTTTTTTTTAACCCGCAATCAGGTCAGCATGGCATGTCTTTATTGTATATATGCTAGGTATTTACAAATTATTGTGACTTTCACATACTGACTCACTCGTCGTCGAAAAACTATTTCTCTAAATGCAACCTAGGGAATGATATTTCGCTCCTTTACTAATTTGGATAAATCCTCTAATTAATAAAATCATTGCCTACAGGTCATTACTATAGATCATTCTAAGTTCTGTTTGCAGTTAAAAACTGAACCACTTTATACCGTGACAAACCCAATCCTTAATAATCACCATATATTTCTTTCTTTCTATTTCTTTGATATCCTTCAAGTTCGAATCCTCTGAAGATAATAACAATTCTTTTTGGTTCTGTTCAGTCTGTTCGTCAGGTCTAGGCTTGGACCTCTTGTTTCTTTTGTTCTCTTCTGTGATGTTTTGCTTCTTTTTCCATTCTATAACTTTGGTACAGCAAGTATTTCAGATCTTTTTTTTAAAATTTGCTCTTATCTTTTGACAGAGTTTATTGATTATACCCTGTATATTTGCTGATGGGATCTTAAGCTGCTCTTTGAGATACTTCTTCAAGGAGATGGTCTTGCTTTCTTCTATATATCCACAGATGGTATTGAAAAGGTCCCTGTCAGATTTCTGGATCTCTTCTAACCATTTGTCTGTCCAGTCATTTATTTTATGTTGAACTTCTTTCTTATTTTTTATTTCTTTATCGATAAGTTTCTTGAACTTTTCATTTGCCTTTTGCCATAAGTTCTTCCGAGTTTCCCTAGTGACTGGGCATTCAAAAAGATGTCCTAATATCTCTTCTTAAAGTTCACATGCTAGGCAAGTGATTGTAATATACACTTCTGATTTCCTATTCTTAAGTATCTGTAGAACTGGAAGTTCATTGTAAGTTAAGTTAGTTAGGAAGTTTTTGCATTTATTAGTTTTGAAAGAGGTATCAAAGGTATTGGTTGGATTGAACTGGCTCCAAAAGGTTGGCCAGTCTATAATTTTATTATTTTGAATCCAAAGATCCTAGATCCATTTCTGTGTTGTCCAGTCTAGTCCAATCTTTTTCTTATTGAACATTTTAA